ATCTTGACAGCTGTGGCCTTGGAATTTAGACTCCAAATCCACCCTTCCCCTTTACATGCTTCTTGGTGGGGGGACCCAGCAAATGGGAAGCAGGTAAGCTTGAGGCCCTCCTGTGCCTGTTCCATGCCTTCCCTCCACCTCTTGCTTCTCTCTCAGCCATAGAGCTGGCTCCTGGGTACAGCATGAGGGGCCAGGCCTCCCATGGACATTCATAGGCCCCGGATGTGTCCAGGCAGTGGGAGGCCTCAGAACCCTATAATCAGAGCTACAGAACCTCCCCAGTGAGGGGTGCAGTCTGTATGTCTCCCCAAGTCCTATCCCCACCTCCTCCACACCCACTCACCTTTTATACTTCATTTTCATTTACACAACCATCACTTATCTATAGGGTGACCGTACAATTTATCAACCAAATGATATTTTTGGGACTGAAGGCTTGGGAGAGTTGCGTTAGCAGTAATTAGACAGGACTCAGGCATCAATCCTGACTGTCCCAGCAAACGAGGGCTTATGGCCGTTCTGGACAAACAAGGTAAAGACCCTGGGTCTCTGGCCCGAAGGGGCTCCCAGACTTGTCGAGAGCAGAGAGGTACACCCAGCACCCTGGGCCTCAGTGGGGTCAAGCGCTCTGGGCAGAAGAGGTGTGTGACAGCTTCCTGGAAAGTAGTGGGGAGGCGGGGAGGGGAGAGGGGGTGGCCCAGGGGCCCAGTGAGAAAGCATGCTGGAAGCTGGGAGGTGGGCTGAGTGGCTCAGTGTGGTCCCAGAGGAGGGTCTGTGAAAGGGATAGGACGGAGGATGTGTGTGTGGGGGGGAGTGAGACAGCCTCAGCCATTAGGGAGTGCCTTGAGTTTCTCCTGCCATGTCCCCTGTGAGCACTGGGGAGTTGTCACTCATCTGAGCAGGAAGTGACAGAGAGGAGAAGAATGTAGGAGAGAACGTGGCCTCAGAATTCCTTGGCAAGAGCAGGAGGCAGTGGCCACAAATCAATCTAAACACGCATTGTCTCCTTTAACTATCACCACCAGCCGATGAGGAAAGTGCTGTTAGGACCCCCCATTTTGGAGACCAGGGAACTAAGGCCAGAGAGGGGACATGTCTTGCAAAGGTCACTCAGCTAGGAAACCAGAGAGCCAGGGTTAAGAGTCCTGGGGATCTGAGACACAGTCCCGGGCCAAGCTCTTCAGGCCCACTTGGTCGCGGTGGCTGTGGTTGGTAGTTAGAGGACACGTGGCCTCCTGGTACCTTCCAGGTTCCCAAGCCCTTGTGGTACCTTCCAGGTTCTTGGCTCCTAGCTGCCAGCACTTGTGCAGCTTCATTCTTGCCCAGGGAACTAGCGGAGCTCGCTGGGCATCTCAGTTTCCAGAGGAGTTCAGCTCCAGCCAGCTGGGGCTGGGACTCAGGAAGGTCTGAGGACAGCTGCCTGGGCATGGGTCCCTTGGCAGGCAGCAGGCATGGAGCCAGCTGGGGACCTGCCCTGCCAGTTCCCTCTGAGGCCTGGCTTAGGGCACCGCTGCTGAACATGAAGCTTCCTCATGGGTTGGTGCTCTGGGGCCTGCGTGGCCACAGGCAGTGTCCGGGGGAGGTTGGCCCCAGGAGGCGCCATCAGAGCCTGGGCTCCTGGGGAGACTGAGAGAGGAGCAGGACACCTTTCCCAGGCGGTGGCCTGGGGCAGAGGATGCCAGAGTTTCAAACCCTGAGGGAGAGTTTCATGATGCTGAGCCCAGGCAGGTACCTGATTCAGGTCCCTTTACTGAAGGACACCCTTTACTGAAGGACACACTTTCCCACCAGCAGAGGGCAGTGTAGCCTGGACTTTGGAATTCAAGCGCTCTGGGTCCATTGCTAAATGGAGTGAGCCAACACCCTAACCATTCTGAGCCTCAGTATGCTCATCCGTGAAGTGGGGATGTTATTCAGCGCACAGCATCTCCAGGGAGATTGAGGATGGCAGGTGAAGGGCAGGGCACACCCCCTGCCATGAGGTGAGAGGGCAGTAAATGCCGGTATCGAGTCTCCTCGTAAGGGAGTGAGAGCTCCGTCGCTGAAAATATTTAAGCAGAGGCTCCGCATCTCTTTTAGAGATGTGACGGAGGAATATCTCCCTGAATATTAGTTTCAACTCTTATAGCATTTCAGTTGCTTTGGGCTCTCCCCATTTACAAGTCCTTTTTTGCATGCTATGCCAGGCGTGACATTTATTTGGTCCTATGTTATGGTGCAGGAAACGGAGGTTAGAGATTTGCCTAATGCTCTCAGCTGCACGGTGGCACCTGTAGGGATGGAGCCAAGCCCTTCCCCCACAGGCCACCTGCTTCCCTGGGCCTCTACAGCATTGTCAGCCCCTGACGATGTCCCCAGGAGAGCTTGCAGGGATGGAGTGGTTCTGTGGTGGGATCTGAGGTGTGGGTGAGGTGGGCACAGAGCCTTGGGGAATTGAGGGACTGGCCAGTCAGCCTCAAAGGAAACCATTTAGGCTGGGCTGGCCGGCAGAGAACCGGAAGGGGCAGGACCCAGGCCACTGCAGGGCACCACTCTGTCAGGGCAGAAGGGCGAAAGCCGCCATGGCCCATCAGCGCAGGAAACTTTGTCCTCAGATTTCAGAGACGAGGGCGGCTGCGCTGGGGACTCATCCTGGGAGGAAACAGTGAGCTAGAAAGCGGGTGGAGAAGGGGCGAGTGAGAACAGCTGTGTACTGGTGCCCCCTTGTGGCAGCCCTCCGGAATGGCAGTCAGGGCGCCACCCTGCCCCATCCCGGATCCCAGGTTGAGATCAGGTTCAGGGCTGGGCTGTTTGAGCACCCCAGGCTAGGGAAGAAAGGCGCAGGGGAGAGGTGTCTCCCCAACTTCCACTGACCCTCCATAGGTTGCCAACCCAATGCAAAGCTAGCCAGTCTTCAAAGACCAAAAGGGAAACGGTAGCTACTACGATTGAGCAGTTGTGAAAGAGTCAGGTCTGTGCCAGGTTGGAGTCCTTCACTAAAGATGCATCACAAGCCTCCGAGGGGAGCACCCCCTGAGCACTGTCACTCCCCGCCCCCCGACCCCTTACAGATACAGGCTGCAGGTCTGAGAGGTTATGTCCCTGCCAAAGGCCATTCAGTCTGGACCTTCAAACCATTACGATTAAAAGTACTTTAGGTAGCGCCAAACTTTATGGACCATCAACTAATAAACTGGTACATTTTGGCTCTAAATTAGGACTTGTTTGGGAGGCAAAGAGAAAGGGAGCAAGAGAATGAACCGGGGAGGTGCCCTAAGGTGTGTGTGGGGGTGGGGGGACGGGAAGGGACAGTCCCACAGAGGGTCAGAGAGAGGACAGGGCACCTGTGGAGGCAGGGGGGACAGAGGACTGGCAGAAGGGGGACAGGCTGGGAAGGGGAGGACTCCCAGGCCACCGGGAGAACAAAGGTAGCTCTGAGACTGCAAATACCTTCCCAGCAGGGTACCCCCAGTCCTCTTCAGCTCTGCCCCTGCTCCAATGGCCCCTCTATGCCACCAGACAGCTGACAGCCCTCTCCTTGAAAGGCCCCCCACCTTCTGTGAGGCTGCCTTTTCCTGGGGTGCCTCTCACCTCCCTGCCAGCCCCCNGCAGCATCACTGGCCCTCATGTGGGATCCGAATCGGGGCCCCGCTGCTCAGAGCTGGTGTCCCAAGCCAACTCCCAACCAACATGCCACTCGGCCAGCCCTCTAAGGACTTTTGAAGTCAGCATGGCTACAAGGGTCTTTGTTCCTCTCCTTTCTTTATTCTATTATCTCAAAGTCCTTGGGGGGCATCTGGAATGCTCTCTAGTTCCAGAGCCCAGCCCACCCTAAGTTCCTACAGAGGGAGTTGTGGGGACAAGGTATCTAGATCATCAAACTGCCCTATGCCAGGAACAGACCGGCCTCACCGCTCACTGCCCCTTCACCAGGTCCCTGACCCCCGCAGCCAGAAATCAACTGGGGGAAAGAGATAAGTAAACGTAACCTTGTAGGTCTTATATGAGGGCATGATAAGGGTAATCTGAAATTCATTTTGTTTTCAAGAATCCAGGCCAGTCGTTTTGCAGAAACGTCCCTCACTTTGAGTTTGTCTGCTGCCTTGCATGATTAAATTCAGGGTATGCGGTTTTGGCACGAATAGCACATATGAGACTATGTCCTTCTCAGATCATCCCATCAGGGAGCACAGCATATCCAGTTTCCCACAAATGATGACCTTATTTTGTTTTGGTTTTTTTGTTGTTTGTTTTTTTAGCTGAGCCATCCTGCTACCTGTTGGCAGCTCAGCGGCTGCTCAGCTCGGGCTGGACTCGAACTGCTGTTGCTCAGAGCTCACACTCTTGAGCGAGCTCTTAACCAACTGAGCCACTCGGCCAGCCCGATGACCTTATTTTGGATCCCACAAGTTGTCAGAGGAGAGAGTTTTGCACAGAGGCCTGCGTCTTCTCCCCTCACCTCACAGGTCAGCCACACTGGTCCTAGCGGGGGCCTGGGGCTCGCTCTCCTGAGCCCTGCCTCTGCAGACTTTTCAGAGAGCACCAGAGAAGAATATCATTATTCACATCATGGAGGCAGGCCCCAGTGAGACTTATGACACTTAACAAGGGACTTCCCATTCACTTCTAGATGCAAATAAGAACAACTGCTTCCTCAAAGCACTGACTACCATACTCTGTGTAAAAAGCATGACACGCCTTAGACTCATCCAACCCTCACAACCATTCTGAATGGTGAGTACTACAGTCACCCTGTTGTGTGGATGGGGAAATGGAGGCCCAGAGAGGTTAAGCAACTTGCCCAAGTTCACCCAGCTAGGAAGTGGCAGGGCTGGGACTTGAACCCTGGCCCCTTTAAACCCCTGGGTCCAGGTACTAAGCACCATGCTGTGTGTTTCTCTGTGGAGTTTCACAGCTGATCAGATCAGGGTGGCATGCAGGGCAGGCTGGAGGCCGTCCTTTGCAGATGGAGGAAATAAGGCCCACAAGAGGTTGTGTGTTCTGACCAAATTTGTGGAACTGGGGCCAGCTCCAAAACTTCTGAGTCCTGGCCTAGTGCCCTGGCCACAACCTCAGGTGGCTTGCGGGATGAGGCCAAGAAGGCCAAGAGTGCTGATGGTGACCTGCCAAGAGGGATGGGCAGAGGGAAGGGCAACATAGTGACTATCCCTATATAGCCTTTTCACCATGGCCATTGGGCCTGGAAGCGGGGGGGTGGGGGGGACCCCGCCTCAAAGCAGGATAATCTGAGTCACTTTGGTGCTCAGCCCATAACCGGCTAATGTGACTGCCACGCCCTGCCTCTCTCCCCAGAGAGAGAGCCATCCTGTGCCAGTCATCTTCATTCATCACCCCTACTCACCAGGGCAGCCACAGTTTTGGAGGAAGTAGGTGACTCCTCAGTTAAACCCCTGTCCAGCCCCATCAACCTGAGTAGCTAGTTTCTTGAACCGAAGTCTCAGAGGACAAGCCCAGACCTCCAGCCTTCTGTGGGTCAGCAGAAGTACGGGGCTGAGGTGGGGAGATGGCCTGGAGTCCTCTGGAGGGGGTGGATGAGACAAGAAAAGCCAGAAGACAGAGGGGAAAAGGGCTACTGCTTACCTGCTCTGCAAATCCTAGATCAGCTCACCTCTTCCATGAAGTCCACCCCGATCACCCCTAGTGGCCACCAAACTCTCCTCAACTACCTAGGAAAGTGCTTGATTCTGCTTTAACTACTGGGCAAGTCACATGTGCCTTCTCTTCTATAGTACAACTTGGGGAGGGGGCGCCATTTTTCTCCATGGCTCTACACACCTTACTTATTTATGTGTTTGCTTTTTGTCACTCCCTACCCCCCAACCAAAAGAAAGTTCCATGAGGACAGGAATTTTGCCTCTTTTGCTCACTGGTATATCCCAGCACCTAGAAAGTGCCTGGCACACAGTAGGTGCTCAAAGAACATTATTCACCCCTTCCTTCATCCTCCTGCAACACTCCCTGAGTGCCCACTCCTCGCATTAAAATATTTTTAACTCCTTGAGTTAAAAATAAGACTTCACCCCTATCATAAAGCTCATGGCCCCGTTGGGAATAGATAACTCCAGAGGCCTATGTGCCCCACTAGCTCCATCCTCAAAGTTCCCCAGCTCATGTCTCCCCACCCTCCATACTCCCCTTCCTGTGTGCTTAGATGTCTTTCTCGGGGTCAAAGGGTGCACGTACCTGAAATCAGGCCTTCCCTCCAGCTCTGCTGAGAGGAGCCGCGCGTGGTGTAGTGAGATCCGTCAGCCCAGCGTTTGAACTCCAGCCTGTTCCCCCGCCTCTCTGGGGACTCATTTTCTTAATCTGTAGGATGGGCTCCAATATCCACCTTGCAGGGTTTCTGTTGAGAGTTAGAATATGTCGAGAGTTAAAATATGTTAGAAAAGGGTCTGGTCACAGCAGGCACATAATAAACGGCCCCTCCTGCTGGCACTGCTCCTGTGGCATCTGGAGATGTCTTGAAGCAGGCTGCTTCTTGTGCCAAGGGAGTAGGGACGCCCCAGTGCCCCAGGACGGTGCAGTGGGGCCACGTTCAAGTTCCTAGCACCCTCTTTGGGTGCTCAGCCTCGGGCGTTCTACGGGGTATTCGTGGCTTTTACAAATGTGCAATTTATTTATTTATTATTATTTTTTAAAGATTTTATTGGGGAATTGAGGGAGGGGAACAGCACTGGGGAATCGGGGGAAGGGGAACAGACAAGTTGCTGTCCTTTTGTTCTTCAGTCTAGTTGTGGAGGACGTTGCTTCACCGGCCCATGTTG